TATATATAATTTTTTTTTGCAATAACCAGGTATTAAAAAAAAATCGCAAATAACCATGTTTTGGAAAAAATTACGCAAATAATTATGTTTCAGATGACTCTCCAAAAGAGGAGCCATCTCACTTGGCTCCTACACCTATTATTTAAGGGGAGGCGCCATCTCACTTGGCGCCTAGGTGCTTAGGGCTTGCCCTAAGCCAAGTGAGATGGCGCCTTAATGCATTTCTAGGGTAATTTTCGCGTTTTTTTTTCAATCTGGTGCGTTGCGTATTCGATATAGGATCAACAAAATTGACTTTTTATTTACAAAAAATGATTACATCCAAAGTATTACATGAAAAAAAATACAGATTAAAAAAAATACAGATAAAAAAAAACAGATTAATTAGTGGTCTCTCGGAACCCGGTAATGACCCCCGGTTCCGCATCCCCGTCCTCGCCTTTCCCGTGCTGGGTGTCGTCGCGTTTCCTGTTGTGGCAGGGTCGATGGCCCAGCGAAGTCAATGCGTTCCGGATCCATGAAATCAAGCAGATCTCCATATCTAGAAGATCCGCTTTGGTACAGTCGGTTACCCATACCCTCAAAGTTTGGTCGTGTTGGCGGTGGGTGGGGTTCCATGGTGGGTCTGTAGCATTGATCGTCTGAGTACGGGGGGTAGAAAGGAAATGGATCTTGGGGTGTTTGGTATTGAGGATGTTGGGTGGTTTGGTGATACTGTGGTTGATGGTAAGTTAGGTCGGTTGGTTCATAATCTTCCGACATTCCTATATCAGGGCTAAGACCTGGATGTTAAGGGGCTCATATTGGGATATACAGAAGACTGAAATTGTGTGTGGGGTATGCGGGTGTGTTGGTATTGTGATTGGAATTGCGGTTTGGTGTGAGGCATATGGGGGTATTGGTACTGAGGTGGTGATTGTGGTTGGTTGTGGGGCATTTGGGTGTAATTGTGTTGTGGTGGCGACTGTGGTTGGGTGTTTGTGGTTCTGTTTCATCTGGGAGGTTGGTGGGAGGTTGATGTGTGTTGGGTTTGTTGTTGGGGAAACGAGGGTTGTGCCCATTGTGTTCGTGGGTCAACCAAATACCTTAGATGAGACACGTGTATTTCAGGGTTACTAACCAACCTGTACCAAGATAAATATTGATCTGTGTGTCGCATATTACCATGATTGAGGAAAACTGGGAATTGCAAATCATGTTGATGACGCCTCTGCCACATCTTAAACCATTCTGGAGCAAAGTCTTTCCAGTTGGTAAGACCCCACTGGGCGTCGACCCTTTTGAGATGCCACGGGGACAAACAAGTCGGATCACTGGGTATCTCTTGATGCATTCCGAACTGCATCTTCACACGGTCGCTGTGGTGCATCTCCACAACATTGAACCATATAATTGCAGTCTTGGCTCTCCAAATTGTTGCATCCTCGGGGTTTGATTCATGGCCCAAACCTAAATATGGTCTCCAGACAAACTGCACATAAAATTAAATCAGGTTAATGAAAACGTAATATATAAATAATTTAAAAGTAGAAAAGTTGAAAGGTACGACGTACATCATCCGGGCCTAGGTGATCCAATAGATTGCGGTATAGTGCGACATTGAATCTTGGATTCTTGTCGTAATCCATATCCCTCACGCAATACCTAAAGGAAATGAAAAATATTTTATTTTTAGCATATATTTGGTGAAGAGATGAACAATAGTAAATGATATAACTAGATGACTTACTTTGTTGTGTACGGGAAAATGAATGTGTTGTTGTTGACGGGGTTTAGGGACTCCATCCTCCACCAACCCCAGGCTTGAAGTAAAAAAGCGCAGCCATAAAATGTACATTTTTCCTTGATTGCATTTTTGCACAAGGAACTGTATAGGTGGGCTAAAACAGCAGAACCTTCTCGTTGGTGCGATTGTGGCAACTTTTAAGCCTTTCGTATGCCTTGCTCTCATGTCATTGCCGCTTGTGCTTATACCCATAAAGACGCGCTACAACTTCTGTCACACATTTACAAATCTGAAATGTTGCTCAACATTTACAACAACAGTTTTCCTTTGATAGCAAAACCAGATTATTGGCATGCATACGACGACGAAATAGTGTGGCACAATGACCAAATGCGAAGGAACAATAAGGGTCGTCCCAAAAGTAAGCGCATCACAACCGAAATGGACTCCCTTGACAAGCTGGAAAGAAAGTATGGTTTATGCCATCAGGTCGGACACAATCGCAAAAATTGTCTGAATCGGGCGTCTGCCTCGACCACATAAAAATTGTATTACATAAAATCTTTCCTTAATTATGTTGTAAACATTAGGGTTTTTCGTTAAAAGTATTTGCTACAATAAACATTACGCGTACAAGAAAAAAAACACCATATTTCGTCTACGAAATTATAACTGTTAAAACAATTTCATCTGACCCATGCATCATCAACATTACGTCGCTGTCTGTTTTGACTTCCTCTAACCATACATTAGATCTTCCTGTCGCATGTGAGGTTGTTGTTCGTCTTCGCTGGATCCTTTGAATTCTTCCCCCCTCCACAATGTCTCCATCTAGCTGTCGCATCAACTCCCGCTTCAGACGCTCCATGGAGTGAATGTGCCAGAATTTCATTTTCATCGCAGATTTCGTGGCGGAGAAGATAACATAACCATCTCTGATAAAAATCATGGGCGATGTCATGACACAAATAATAGAGTAAAAAATAATAAAACAGTGCGAGAAAGTGTGAGAAATGACGGAGAAACGGACGAATTATTTATAAAAACAACATTTTGCCCTAGGAGCCAAGTGAGATGGCGCCTCCTCTCACTTTTAAAGTGCATGCGCCATCTCACTTGGCTAAAAGAGAGAGGAGGCGCCAAGTGAGATGGCGCCTAAGGCAAAAACTTTGGTGGAGGCGCCAAGTGAGATGGCTCCTCCTTTGGGGAGTCATCTGAAACATGATTATTTGCGTAATTTTTTCCGAAACGTGGTTATTTGCGATTTTTTTTAATACCTGGTTATTCAAAAAAAAAATTCATATATATATATATATATATATATATATATATATATATATATATATATATATATATATATATATATATATATATATATATATATATATATATATATATATATATATATATATATATATATATATATATATATATATATATATCATAAACATTAATATTAAGTTTTTTAAAAAAAATTCCTATAATTATCTATTTATAAAAACTACATTATTTAAATATTTAAATATTTTGATAATAAAAAAGAAAAGGTTTTTATAAAAGTATTTTTTAAATAACATATAATTATACTAATTTTTATAATTAATATATAATCATATTATTATTATGTGACTTAATAAATGATTATATTAATATTTTCATTAAAACATTATTTTTTTAATTGACATTTTTAAAATATAAAAAATTATATAATATTTATTAATCAAGCTGTAAATATTATTTTTGGATTAATATATTTTCTTTTAAATTTTAATAGTATGATAATCCATATTTATAGATTAATAATTAAATAAAATATATCATCTATAAAATTATTTTCAACCGACTTTCAATAATTTAAATAGGCAACAAATAAAATATTTTATTTATTAAAATATAATGTGAATTAATTTTGGTGGAGACTCTATAAGTTATAAATAAACAAGACTATTCAAAAAGACAAATAAATCTAGAATATTATTTTCAATGGATTAAAGTTTAATAGTTAAAATGAATTATTCCCATTTTTTATAATAACCATGCGTTCTCACACAAAATAACTTATATATATATGGAAGAATATTGTGTCTATTTCACATAGCATATATATATATATATATATATATATATATATATATATATATATATATATATATATATATATATATATATATATATATATATATATATATATATATATATATATATATATATATATATATATATATATATATATATATATATATATATATAGCTTCTGTTTCATATCAGGACCATTAAACAATTTCCTATTTTATCTCCTTAAACTATGTCTAAAATCATTTGGTCAAAGGACACCAAATCACTAATTAATTCAGCAAATAACAAATTAATATATAATTATCAGTACAAAATATTTTTGTTTCAAAACACAAATTAATATATAATTATCGGTACAAAATATTATGTTTCTTATTACCTCCCTTAAGTTGGTGTGTG